CGAGGCCGATTAAGCAGCAGCCCACCTCTCCAGCTCCAGTTCATGGGAGACGCAAGGCCTGAATTACCAGTTTCCATCATTCAAAGGCGATTCTGGCTGGTCTTCTCCCCTCGATTCCTGGTTCCTGATCATTTCACTAAGTGGGTAAAAATGAGCACCAGGAAAAGCAGCACACGAAGAATAGATAACTAAAGCCACTGATCTGCTGCTACATGTGAGCAACTTCTCTAAGAATTACTTTATGTTTTTATTTTATTTATTATTACCAGTTTTCAGTTTGAGTAGAGACAAAAGCAAAGTGAGAAAGCAAGTCGCCAGATCCAGGATTCAAACTGCTGTTGGCCATGTGGCAGTCTGGCGCCCCAACCACCGCGCCACCCGCCAGCTCCATATGAGCAACTTTAACAAAATATTCGATCAAAAGATAGCTAAGATGTAGAAGGATGAACTGAACTTGCCTTTCACGGCCCTGGCCGTCTTCTGTGGACGACAGCAGCCCATAGTCACCCCCAGGTACCCCAGGGGCTGCAGAAGGCTGGCTGGTCCAGTCTAGAACAAGCCTGTGAGAGACGCACTCGCACACAGGAAACGGTCACTAGGGAGCCTGTGCGAGTTGTCAGCAGCAAGGGCAGGACCATGCTGAGGGTGTGGCCCTGGGACCGCCCTGCACCCAGTCTGAGGCTGCATCCCGGCAGCACAGGTGCCCTGACCTTTCCCCTGCATCATGCTCTCTGGTGCCTGGCCGGCAAGCATAGAGCTGTGTCACCAGGCAGCCCCGCCCACGCCCACGCTCCCTAAGGTGGTTAAGAAGCCCAGAGCTCCGCCTATTTCCCATGGTCACCAAACTGCGTCTACACACAGAACGGACAGTGGAACCAAACACACAAGGTTTGGCTGTGGAACAGGCGTCAGGGCTGGCTGTGCGGGGCCCAAGCCCACTGGTCCGCTGGCCCAGGTCAGGGGCGTCCTGGTTCCCAGCCAGCTGGACAGTCGGGACAAGGTCCCGCCACAGCCAGGTTCTGTCAAAATCCCTCTCTCTTGCTTAGAAAGACAAAAGACATTAAAATCAAACAAAAATCACCATGAAACTGTTCAAAGAATGCAGATGTAGGAAAGAAAATATGTACGCTCTACAAGTTATTTTCGTTTCAATAATTCCTTGGGTCAAAATCATGCTGAATAATATGGCACAAAACTCCAATAGCTTTTTTTTTTCCTTTGGGGAGGTTTTTACTATAGGGCGTGTGTGCTCGCCAGAAATACAGAGAGAGACAGAGAGACGGAAAGTGAGAAATCACCCCCCAGGGAGGATGGCCACGCTGCAATCCCTTCTCCTCACGGGATCTTGGGCACACGAGCACACGCGCCCAGCGTGAGTTTAAGTCACATGGGAGTCCAGCAACATAGTCACTATGCCAACTACTGGTCCCTTCAATAGCTATTTTTTGCAGCCGATTTTTAAAGTTTAATCATTTCTTTTTTAAATTTTCTTTTCTTTTGGCAAAGGGCACACGGGACTGCTAGAGAGAGAGAGCCAAAGTCAGCCCAGGAGGGCGGACACACTGCGGCCCTTCTCAGGGCCCTGCCAGGCTGACACACGTGCATGGTGTTCTCCAGGCCACTGGGCAGCCATGGACCCAGCCCTTTAACCCGCAGGCCACCGGCTGGCCTCACACAGTTCTCACCGTCTTGCTGTTCATGCCCTTTAATTACCAATCTCTCAAGTGGAGAGTGAAAGAGTGGCATCTAGAGGAAAAAATGGACAAAAGGAAGCAGCTAGCCCCACCTGTTTCACAGCATCTGAATTCCTTGGGAGATCAAAGAAGAAAAACAAAAGAAGCCCCAATGGAAAGCTAAATATGAAATGGAAAGACTTTTTTTCGTTTTTTTTTTTGGAGAGGTTTTTGCTATAGGGCGAGTGTGCTTGCCAGAAAGAGACAGACAGAGACAGAAAGCGAGAAATCACCCCCAGGGGGATGGCCACGCCACAATCCCTTCTCCTCCATTCTCCTCTCAGGATCTTGGGGACGCACGCACACGCGCCCGGTGTGAGTTTAAGCCACTGGATCCGGGACTTGAACCGTGGTCGACTACATGGGAGTCCAGTGACATAGCCATTACACCAACTGCTGGCCCCAAAAGGCAACTGTCATAGTAACTGGGCATGCAATGGAGGGAGGAGAGCTGCAGCCACACGTGACCATCTAGCGTGACCCCACTCTGGCTTTCGATGAACAAACTCTGGTTTGATAAGGGGGATCCCCAGATCTGCAGTGAAGAGTTAGAGGCCATCGGCATCACTCCACAAGGCAGTCCATTATACAACTACCCCTTCTTTAAATGGAAGCCTGGAATACAGCCTGCATGCGAGCAAGTGTGTGCACATGCACGTGGGCATGGTTAGGAATGCATGCATCCGAAAGGGCAAGGTGATACAGCATGTTCCAAGTTCCCCTGATGTTCCAGACTGTGAGTTTGTAAAAGGAGCCTGCCTTTACGTAAGTCAAAGCTCTCATCATGAGAGGCTATTCTTTTCTTTTCAGAGAGATTTTCTTTTGCTATAGAGTGCATGCGCTTGCCAGACAGAGACGGAGAGAGAGAGACCGAAAGTGAGAAATCATCCCCTAGAAGGGATGGCCACACCACAATCCCTTCTCCTCCATTCTCCTCTCAGGATCTTGGGTACGCACGCACATGCGCCTGGCGTGAGTTTAAGCTACCAGGTCCGGGGCGCGAACTGCAGTTAACTATGTGGGAGTCCAGTGACACAGCCATTCCACTAACTGCTGGTCCCGAGGCTATTTTTAACATGACACAACTTGGGACCAGCAGATAAGAGTAATGGTTACATCGCTGGACTCAGTCGACTGTGGTTCACAGTTTAAGTATCAGACCCAGAAGCTTAAAACTCATGCCAGGCGCATGTGCATGCGTGCCCAAGATCCCAAGAAGAGAATGGAGAAGGGACTGCTGCACAGCCACCACCACCCGGGGGGGCGGGGGCGATTTCTCGCTTTCTGTCTGTCTTTGTCTCTCTGGAGAGCTCACCCATCCTATAGTAAAACTCTCTCTAAAAAAAAAAAAAAAAAAAAAAAAAAGCCATGACAGAACTTGGGACAGGCACAAGACACAAGTAGTCAGTGAGGCTGTTTTGACCGTGGGAATAAACACTGTGGAGCTCACACAAAAACTGACCGACGGTTAAACAAAACAGAATAAAATATACACCTGAGCCTTTACAAAACTTCAGAGTAGTTTGTTAACTACTAAATTGCTTCCCAAGTTAGATTTTACAATCACTTTGTCAAATACAAAAGCAGAAACAGGGCCAGCACCACAGTCAGGGCTAAGTGCTGTGCATTGGACGCTACATCCCACATGGCTGATCACGGTTCCAATCCTGGCCCCGGCAGCTTGAAAAAACACACTGCATGCTCAAAACCCTGACGGGATAGAGAAATGGAGGAGAAAGGAGTGTGACAATGCCCCATGGAGGGGTGCTTTTTCTCGCGGGTGAGGACACTCTCCTTCTAGCAGTTAAATACACACACACATTCAATCTTTTTTTAAAGAATGATTTAACTTTATTTATTTTAATTTTACCAGAGAGAGACACAGAGAGAAAGAGGGAAAGTGAGAAAGCAAGCCACCAGGTCCAGGCCTCGTAACGCAGTTGGCCGCCTACATGGGCGTTCAGTGCCCCCGCCTGCCGGCCCCACACACTCAATTATTAAAACGGCATTAGATCTATACAATTTTGGAATAAGTGACACTGATCATTTTTCCCATCACTTGATGCAATATATCTGCTTACTTATCTACAGGAAAATTTCTGGTTCATCACATAGGTTAGATACTTCATCCTAAGAACACTCCTAGGGGGACCAGGAGATGGTGTACTGGTTATGACGCTGGACTCCCACATGTCCGATCGCGGTTCGAGTCCCAGATCCAGCAGCTTGAAACACACCAGGTATGTGTGCATACATGCCCCAAATACAGAGAGAATAGAGAAGGGATGGTAGCATAGCCATACCTTCCGGGGGGGGGGGGTTTACTTTTTGTCTTTTACTCTGGCAAGTGC